GACATAATAGAGCAAAGGAAATTGTGTATTATGCATAATATCATCCTTGGGAAATGCCCTGATTACTTTAATCATTATATTCGTCATGTTAAAAATAGACATCATTACACAACTCGGGGGTCAACTACTATGGATTTATCCACACCTTTTTTTAGCACCATGACCAGCAAACGTTCATTTCTTGCGAGTTGCACTAGACTATGGAACAACCGTGACAGTTCCACTAGGGGTCTCGGCATTTCCCTTTGTTAATTTAGAAATCAACTATACATGAAAGATAGATATAGGAACTCCAGAATTGATAACTTTACTATAAGTAGAAATTTTAAATTAATTTCTAATTGTATTTTTTCTTTTTATTTTTGCTATTTTAATTTGTAGTTTTAGAAGACCACAATGAGAACTCCTGGTTCAGTTTTACCAGTAATTGCGTCATCCAATAAACTCATTATTATTATCATTATTATTATTATTATTACTATTATTATTATTATTCATGTATTTTTCGATTTTTATCTCAATTTGTTTGTAAATATTTTTGATGATTATAGTGAATTATCGTTATCATAGTGTGTATCCTCTAGTTTTTCTTACATTTTTATTAGACATTTTAACACAATTTTTCGATTTTCAAACATTTTATCATAATTTTTGTTATAATTTTTTGTGATTACGGTGAATAAAGGATTATATTGATAATAATAATAATAATTATCATCAAATTACTTTGTTGTCATGCTAACTAGATACTGGTCTCTATCACAACAAGGTCACCTTCAACCTCACTCCAAATCAAAGGCTTGGCTACTAAGTAGTTACAGCCGAAAGAAAAATTTTTATCTAATTGTTAGAGATAGGAGTTTTTTTTATTTCCCTTCAGTGAAAACTACGCTGGTCAAACGAAAGGCAGATCAAGCAGAAGTATGGCGACTGACTCGTTCACTCGCTCGCTTCTGTGTCGCACGTCAAACGAAGTATCTTTCCGCGAAAATCTTGATTATTTATGCTGACAATATTTTCTCGGAAAGCGCTCGCTTCTGTGTTATCTCACATGTCAAACCGAGTATCTTTCCGAGAAAATCTTACATCATCTACATAAATGACATCTCAAGAGATTTGACATCTACTGTTAAGATTTATGCAGATGATACTAAAATCTACCGAACAATCAGTTCGCCAGATGTTGATATCCTTGCTATGCAGAGCGAGGGACCTAGATCGATTGAGCATATAGGCAAATAAATGGCAGATGCGCTTCAATCCGGTTAAATGCGAGGTCACACGTATTACACATAGAAAGGATAAAACTAAACCAATTTACTCGCTGGGGGTAGGGGGGCGATTTGGGTGGGTAGAGACTAAGGACCTTGGAGTAACCATCTCTTCTGACCTGTCGTGGGGCATGCATGTATCTGCAACGGTAAACAAGGCAAATATGTTATTAGGTATCATAAAGCGGTCCACCAGAACTAATAGCCAGTACGCGTTTTCGCAGCTTTATAAGTCACTGGTCAGGCCCATACTGGAGTATGCGGCTCCTGTTTGGTGTCCGTATTTGATTGAGGATATTACGGCTCTAGAAACGGTTCAANAGGCGAAATGAATTACGAACACCGTTGTAGCTTGCTAAAATGGCAAACACTAGAAAGGCGGAGAGAATTTCTCTCTCTGGTTCATTGTTATAAGATAGTTGTTGGTATTGATCACCTCCCTTTCCCAGATTTCTTAGTGTTTGCCAATAAGCGTACAAGAGCTAACCACGACTATAAACTTTACCTGAAAAGAGCGGTTTGTAATTGTTACAAATATTCTTTCTTCATTCGCATTGTGGGGAAATGGAATAACTTGCCAGGATACATTGTACACGCCGAATCATTGTCTGTTTTTAAGAGTAGACTTAAAAATTTAATTTATTTGAATATTTATTGAATATTTATTGAATCTGTAGCCACTAAATTTTATCTTTTTTATGTTTTTAGTCAGGGAAATTGTTTTTATACAGGGCTAACCTCACGATTTTCCCTTTTCAGGGTGTATTTTTACATTTGCGTTGTAGCTTCCTGAATAAATATTATGTTATGTTGTTGTGTTATCATTTTCTTGGAAAGCGCTCGCTTCGGTGTTATCTCACATGTCAAACCAAGTATTTTTCCGAGAAAATCTTGATGATTATATGCTGACGTCATTTTCTCGGAAAGCGATTTGGATTTGTGAAAGACTCTGTCGCTACTTTACCATTCTACTCAGGAAACATTTGCTGGAGAATCTGAGAAAAACGAGGAGGCGTACAAGTCTTTCCTACTTTCACATAACGTAAGTAGGTCAGCTTAGTTACCGTAATGATTTGCGTTTGTAATTTCAGTCGGTAAAATTTCTCCCAAGAAAATGCAGTCAAATCCAATGAATAGAGAACTATATACCGCCGAGTGCAATTGCACACAGGATAGCTTCTAAAGTGGTAAACCTTTCGAATTTTTGATATATCGCACGTCGTCGTTTTTCTCAATACACAAGCAATATATTAGTGTTACTTCAGTTAGCTAAATTACGATCGTATATCTCTCTAAAACGAAAGCGCCTTAAAATACATTTAAAGACAATCTTTGAAACAACCCCTAGCGATCCGACGGTAGTGTTTCTCTGTTTGACTGAATCGTTTGAATCCAGAGGATCCCTAGATAACTTCTGACACAGATTCTTCATATACACTGTGAGAGAAACGTTTCATTCGATGCTAGTGTTGCTGACAAAACAAATGTGTGTGGCCTAGAGATGCACGAATGTGGACACTTCGAAGGAAACTTTTCGATTTCGAATGCTCTTTCAACCTTCGTGCTTTTGAAGGCTTCTCGTCTCTCAGCTACGATTCAAATGAGAAAAAATATTTCTTATTTTATGATTGATCTGACAGAGCCGTTTCCTGAGACAACCCTTAGGTTGAATCGTCCCGAAAGTGCCTTGAAACTCACATCTTACCAAATGTTATCCTCAATTATTTACGATGTTTTGCATCATTATTTAAAAATAACGCTGCAAACATGGAAGGCATTCGTTGTAAAACGATCAATACATGATAAATATTTCCTTCTTTTTTTCCACCACAAATGAATATGACTACTTAAGAGGCGTGTGATTTAGAGAGCCATGGACAAACAAGGAAGTCAAAGCGCACAGCCCAGAAATCCGATGACAAAAGAAGCAGCGTCGAGGATTCAGAGTTCAGAAGCAAAACAGCATGGCGGCGGGGTTCCAAAAGGAAGCTTTTCAACGCGCGCTCAGTCTACTGCAGACAAGCGGGCAAACCAGAACAACTGAATGCCTATGGAACTGTATTTTAACTCAAAGGGAGCACGATTACGTTCATTATAATCTGTAAGAGACATTTGATCTTTGTTTAATCTTTAAAAGTAGCTAGGTTGTCCTTAAACTATGATTCGAATTTGTTGCTGAATAATCATCATCTAGCAAGTTGTAGCCGTGTGTAGAGCGTCGAAGTAAAACTCATCTGACATCTTAGGAAAATGATTGAAGCACAATGTAAGCAACTGAAATAAAATAGTTATCTATGAATGCTAGTGGCCGAGAGGGAAGGTTCAAGTTTGATTTTTTCACATGTGTATGTCTCCGAGACACCAAGCTATGTAATGCCAGCTATTTTTCTCCGTATCCCACAGAGCATTCATAGTATCATAAAGTTAATACCGAGTCAACTCCCAAGAACATCGTTT